AGTAAACCATTTTAGATGTTGCTAAATTATTTTGGAGAAAATAAAGAAGGAAAATGGGATAGTAACTTTTTTAGTGTTTAGGGAAAGGGAAAGAGTTGCACTTTTAGTTAAGGATGTCTAGGGATATTCTCTTCAAGATGGTGGATGTTGAGTATGACTGATGGAAGAGACATAGTGAATTATATGGAGACTTGAGGGAGGAATTCTAGCCAAAGGAACAAGTAAAAAGGCCTTGGGTAAAAGCTTACCTATTATTCTAGAACAACAGAAAGGAGGCCAGTATGGTTGGAGTGGAGTGAGCAAAGAAGAAAGTTGTAGGAAATCAGTGATAAGACTGGGCCCAGATCAATAGGAAAATTAAACCACTATGAGGACTTTGGTTTACATTCTGCATGCTATGGAAAAGCACTAGAGAGTTTTGATTTGAGAATTGTCACGGATAAACATATTTTAGCAACACTACTCTGCTGCTATCTAGAGAAAAGACATTAGTGTTGCAAGGTCCAAGTGGCGAGGTCAAAAGTCTACTGCAAAAACACAGGAAATGAATGCATGATAGATATATTTTGTATGTAATACTACAGAATTTGCTGTAGGTTTGAATGCAGGGAGAAAGAGAAATTGTGACATTAAGGACGACAAAGTTTTTTGCCTTAGCAACTAGAACATTGTTGTCCCATATTGAAAGGTGAAGACTGTTCTGGTTAGGAAATGGTAGGTTCAAGATGTGTGTTAGACATCTAAATGAAGATGTTAAGTAGTCAATTTTCCCTCTAAGAATCAAGAGTTCAAGAGGGAAGCTCACGTTGGAAATATAAGTTTGACAGTCATCAGCATGTAGATAGTATTTAGATTCATAGCATCAAGGAAGTTAGACTAAATAGAAAATAAAAGAAATCTTGGATTTACTTCTTTGGCTTCTCCAATGTATAGAGGCAGGGAGATGAGGGAATGTCAGCAGAGGAGACTGAGAATAGATGGAGGGAGGAGGAGGGAAGGAAGAGAGCATTATCTTAGAAGCCAAGTGAAGGAGGCATTTCAAAAGTGTGTCAAATGTTGTTTCACCAGATATGCCCCAAATCATATGAGGATACTATGGACCTTATTAAAACGCAATTCCATTGAAAAAGTAAAGAGGGATATTGCTAAATATTATACTTATTTGTATTTTTACTTTTTGTATTCTGACTTTTGTTCTTCTTGGAATTTTTTTTAGCATTTTATTTACTCCTTCACTGGTGCAAGCTGAGGGGATACAAATATGATGATGTGTGCTTCCTGCTATTGAGGAATCTGCAGTCTGAATAATGATCTTATGGTCATTGCATTGATCCATCCTATTACTTTGTAGTATAGGTGAGAACAGAGTGAGGCAGACGGAGAAAAATAAAAAGCATTCATGGCAAGGCTACTATATTGTAAGTGCCCCCAATCTTACCCAGAGAACATTCTCTGAGTTTTATTGACCAGCTGAGTCAAGAGCATCCCATCAGAGGTGGATAACATACTAAATCTCCACTTATGAAATTATTTCCAGTATCCTATTCTCACAAAAAGGCAAGCATCCATCATAGTTGAAATTCAGGTCTGTAATGTGGATTAGAAAGAAGCTAAAATACTGAGTACTAATATTGCAAAGAGTAATCTTCTAAAACGATTTTGTGGGATTCAACACCAAGGTTTTTTTTTTTTAGCTTTTAATTAAACCTTAATTTGGTTGTGACATTTTGATAGATTCAGACAATTTTTCAGCCTTCCCACAGTGATTCGTTATTCTACCCTTTTGACAGTGTGTTCTTCCCACACACAGAATTTCAGGCATGGGGCCTCAGTTGAACAAATATAATGGGTACCACACAACCTTCAATTTTACGTTTAAATACATTTTTAAAATTATTAACTTTGAAATAATAAAAAAGTGAAAAAATTACTTTTCATTATGAAAGACAAGAACTCAAAATATTTCCTTTAAGTCTTTGTGAAAAGTAAAACAAGTAGAAGAAAGAAAGAGAGGGGAAAGTGGGTTTAAAAAAAACACTTATTCAAAGAAGTGTTTTTGAATTTCAACTTCTATATTAGATCCGGGGGTACATGTGCAGGTTTGTTACATGGGTATATTGCATGACACTGAGACTTGGGGTACAAATGATTCCATTACCCGGGTGGTAACTATAGTACCCAATAAGTAGTTTTTCAACCCTTTTTCCCCCTCCCCTCCTCTAGTAGTCTCTAGTGGCTATTGTTCCCATCTTTATGTCCATATGTACTCAGTGTTTAGTTCCCACTTATAAGTAAGAATAAGAGGTATTTGGTTTTCTGTTTCTGCTTTAGTTCCCTTCGGATAATAGCCTCCAGCTGCATCCATGTGGCTGAAAAGAACATGCTTTCATTCTTTTTTATGGCTGTGTAGTATTCCATGGTGTATGTGTACCATATTTTCTTTATCCAATCCACCATTAACAGGGACCTGGGTTGATTCCATGTTTCTGCTATTGTGAATAGTACTGCAGTGAACACACAAGTACATGTGTCTTTTTCAGAGAATGATTTATTATTATTTGGCTATATTCCCAGTAATGGGATTGCTGAGTCAAATGGTAGTTCTGTTTTAAGTTCTTTGAGAAATCTCCAAACTGCTTTCCACAGTGGCTGAACTAATTTACATTCCCACCAATAGTGTATAAGTGTCCCCTTTTCTCTACAGCCTGGCCAGTATGTTGTTTTTTGACTTTTTATTAATAGCCATTCTGACTGGTGTGAGATGGTATCTCACCGTGGTTTTGATTTGCATTTCTCTGATCATTAATGATGTGAAACATTTTTTCATGTTTGCTGGACACTGTCATGCCTTCTTTTGAGAAGTGTCTGTTAATGTCATTTGACCACTTTTTAATGTGGTTATGTGTTTTCTGCTTGTTGAATTGCTTAAGTTCCTTATAGATAACGGATATTAGACCTTTCTCAGATGCATGATTTGTGAATATTTTCTTTCCTTCTGAAGGGTATCTGTTTAACTCTGTCAATAGTTTATTTTGCTGTGCAGAAGCTTTTTAGTTTAATAAGGTCCCACTTGTCAATTTTTGGTTTTGTTGCAATTGCTTTTTAAGACTTCGTTATAAACTCTCTAAGAACTTTAAATGGTTTTTATATGTCTCTGTTATGGTTTCATCCACTTCCATTCTAGTCTTGTTTTCTAACTAGTTATCTTCAAGCATGTTTAGAATTCTTTAGAAAGGGGAATACAGTCGTCACCCAACTATTTTCCATTCACTTTTAGAATGATCCTAGGTCTAGAGAGTGAGAAAAATAGAGTAATTTCTTATCCTCTGCATGTTTCTCAGAGAGCTAGTCCACCAGCCATCATATTTCAAGCTACACTTAAGTTATAGGCATGGTGGAATGTGCAGTCTCAAGAGTGATATATGAAATATAAGAATAGCATATGCTATAGTCTGAATGTGTCCCCAGAGTTCATGTGTTGGTGGCCAATGTGAAAGCATTAACAGATGTGGCCCTTAGGAGGTAAGTCATAAGGGCATGGCCTTCATGGGAAACACTGGCAAACTTGGAGCGACAGACCTACGCTTTTGAGGGAAGCCACCTGGAAGACATTCAGATGTATGGCAATATTACTCCTGACTGGGATCGGTATCTGACCAACCAAAAAAACTCCTATAGCAAAAATGATAGAAAGAACCAGAAGTTTAAGGAAGCTAAGAGGCTCTTCAGTAAATCCTCAGTTACCTCAGCAGCTGCATTAAGTGCATTAGCAAGAGTTCAGGACTAGCTCATTTAAAAGAGGGAGCCAGCAGTATGTATTGGAAATCTACAAAGGATGTACAGCTAACAAAGTACCCTTACATACCAAAGAAATAATTATGCTCTGAACACAACAGCTACCTATGCAGAGCCCTACAGGCCCATACAATACCAAGTGCAAGAGTGCAATTATAACAGGCTTCAGCACGCAGTGCCAGTTGATGATGGTACCACAAGATTCCCATCAATAGACAGCATTTAGAAGGACCCCAGGGGGTTTGCCTGGCATGATCCTGAGTTGCCTAAGGTCATTCACACGCTTCAGCACCAGTTCCCATCTGTTCAGGCAAATGCAGCAGCCTATCTGCAGCACCTGTTGCTTGGTAACAACAACGTGAAGATGAGGGTGTGTAGGTTAGGGGGAATCAAGCATCTGGTTGACCTTTTGGCCACGGAGTTTTGGGATTTCAGAAGAATGCCTGTGGTGCCCCTTTGAAACATCATTTTTGGCAAGTCTACAGATGAAAATAAAATAGCAATGAAGAATGTTGGTGGGATACCTGCCTTGTTGTGACTGTTGAGAAAATCTATTGATGCAGAAGTAAGGGAGCTTTTCACAGGAGGTCTTTGAAATTTATCCTCATGTGATGCTGTAAAAATGACTATTATTCATGATGCTCTCTCAACCTTAACAAACTCTGTGATCATTCCACATTCTGGATGGAATAACTCTTCATGATGGCCATAAAATTAAATTTCAGACTTCACTAATTCTGTGTAATATTAGTGAGGAACCTCAGTTCCATGGGGTAAGAGGCTCAGAAGCAAACGCAGTCCTGAGAGGGGCTAGTGGACTCGCTGTTGTATGTGATCTACACGTGTATGAACACATCTGATTATGACAGCAAGATGGTGAAGAATTGCGTGTGCACCCTGAGTAACCTGTCCTATTGGCTGGAGCTGGAGGTGCCCCAGGCCCGGTTACTGGGACTGAACAAATGTGATGACTTACTAGAAAAAGTTTCCCAGTAAAGACTCTGAGCCAAGCTGCTGGGGGAAGAAAAAGTAAAAGAGGACTCCGCAAGAAGATCAATGGGATGGAGTTGGTCCTATCCTAGGACTGTCAAAGTCCCCCAAAGGGGTTGAGATGCTGTGGCACCCATCGGTGGTGAAGCTATATCTGACTCTTCTAGCAGAAAGTTCTAACCCAGCCACCTTGGAAGGCTCTGCCAGACCTCTCCAGAACCTCTCTGCTGGCAACTGGAAGTTTGCAGGATACATCCGGGTGGCTGTCCGAAAATAAAAGGGGCTCCCCATCCTTGTGGAACTTCTGAGAATGGATAACAATAGAGTTGTTTCTTCCGTGGCAACTGCCTTGAGGAATATGACACTAGATGTTCGCAACAAGGAGCTCATAGGCAAATATGCCATGCGAGACCTGGTCAACCATCTTCCCTGCAGCAACGGTCCCAGTGTCTTGTCTGATGAGTCCAAGGCAGCCATCTGCTGTGCTCTGCATGAGGTCACCAGCAAAAACATGGAGAACACCAAAGCCCTGGCTGACTCGGGAGACATAGAGAAGCTGGTGAACATAACCAAAGGCAGGGGCAACAGATCATCTCTAAAAGTAGTGAAGGCAGCAGCCCAGGTCTTGAATACATTTTGGCAATATCAGGACCGCTGGAGCATTTATAAAAATGATGGGTGGAATCAGAACCATTTTATTACACCTGTGTCGACAATGGAGTGAGACTGATTCAAATCACGTCCTTCCTTGTCTACCACCAACCAAAAGACGTCACCCATCATTCAGTCAGGCTCCAGCAAACCTTCGCCAGTTTACATCAGTTCATATTCCTCACCAGCAAGAGAATTAAATAGACAACTACAGCATCAACAGCTGTATTATAGTCAAGATGACTCCAACAAAATAACTTTGAATCATACAGATTGTATTTGCAGTCTCCTCATAGCTATGAAGACCCTTATTTTGATGTCCGAGTTCACTGTCCAGCTTCTACTGATTAGTCAACACAGTGTGGACTGAAATCAATCACAAATTATGTAGACTTTTATTCCATTAAACGAACTTCTTATAGAGCAGAACAGTACCCAGGGTCCCCAGAATCACAGGTGCAGCATCAAGACGCCCCACAGAGGAACTCTTTCTAACTTTGTTCGGATTGAGGTGAAAAGTCCATCTTGCTGATTTGATGATTGAAATGTGAAAGTGAGTGGAAGGAATGAGTGAAGTGCATTTGTTTTTCTTTTTTAAGGAATTATCAAGGAAGTGATGAAACATTTGGGAGAGGACTTTCTAAGCTCTATTTAGGTGTTACATCTAATTACTTGTAGATTCTGTAGTCTGGTGAAGGTGTGGGTGACGTGATGAGAGGTTTGAGAAATGGGTGAAATGAAATGGGGATGTGTAGGTCAAATCAAAGATGATTTTTTAATGTGAATAAAGTCGTGTTCTGATAGTTTGTACAGAAAAAATAAAATGATGCCCATGTTTTATTGCTATTAGTAAATGTCAAGATTGTATGCTATTATGTCTTGTAAATTTCTTTTGTTGATATAAACATGGAAATGCCACATTGGTTAAGTGCCATCATTTGTAATGCAGTGTGTCGCTTGAAAAGAGATTTGAAGAAACTGACAACTTCAAAAACAAACGGGAAGCCCAAGGAACTGCGAGCAATTAAAAACAAACTGCAACATCCTTTGTCTCCACTATGCATAGTGTACTTTGGAAGCACAACGACCAGGCTGGTACTGCAGCACCATGCCCATTCCTTGCCTCGTTCACAGGACGCTTCACTGCCATTTTCTATGCACATGAAAGAAAAATAAATGTGGAAATTTAAAAAAAAAAAAAAAAAGGAAGGAAGGAAGGAAAGAAAGAGAGAGCCAAGAAGTGGGATGGAAAGGGACACTTCTTCAGACTTCCACAATCAGGAAAATGAGTCCAGCCAGGAGGACCCTGAGGATCTGGATGGATCTGTGCGGGGAATGAAACCTCAGAAGGCTGCTTCCTCTACTTCCTCAGGGAGTCACCGCAGCAGCCATAAAAAGTGAAAGAATAAAAAACCAGCATAGGATTGATCTGAGGTTAAACAAAAAACCATGAGCTGACTGTTAGAAGATACATTCGTGCAGAAGTTTCCAGGTTGTAGAGCCCTGCTTCCCTTCTCTGACCTCACAAAGATAAACATCCTTCACCTGAGTTCGTGGCCATCCACCTCTGCTCTCCCAGACTCAGTGCCTGTGACTTTGAGTAGCTTGTTCTAAATGTGGTGACAAACAAGTCATTTCCATAATACATTGGATCATTTACTTTATGTCATTTTAGTAATAGAACTGCAGGAAGATCAAGACGTATATAATCCCAGCGAGTTGCTAACTGTACATTTCTCCCTTCTTAGCATGAATGTCTCCCCCTAAACTGGCTGGTACCAGCTTCATCTGTGATACATATCAAGAAATGTTCTCTGGTTTTGTTTTATGTTGAAAGAAGAACACAAATTACATTTCAGATGAAGGCTGTAAATATCTGGCATTTTCTTATATTGCTTTGTGTTTTCTTATTTTTCTCTTGTTTTTATCATCTTATTTTCTTTGGGGTCTTTTTGTAATGCCTTTGTACAGCTCATACCTTCCTGCTGACATATCTGATCATCTCTTTCATGTAGTCCCCAATATTCATAACTGAAAATAATCTGGTTTATCATAAGTAAAATGGGAAACTTGGCTCTTTGGTTTTTTGCAAGGGAAGTATTTAGTAATTACCTATCTTAAATCTTTCTGAGTTGGAAGCAGATTCATGTTCAAGGAACAGGAAAAATGGAAAAACACGTTTAAATCAATCATTTTTAAATAGCTATTTTTATTCTTTTGTATAAATAAAATTTCACAGGCTTTGAGAAAAAAAGAAAGCAAGGACCAAACCTTCACCAAGCACTGAAACTGCTAGCACATTGATCTCGAACTTCTAGCCTTTAGAAGAGTGAGAAATAATTTTTTCAAACTTATTTATGTATTTCATCTATTTAAATAGATAAAATTTTATGTATTTGTTTTATACAACATGATGATTTGAAGTATATATACATAGTGAAATAGCCAAATCTAGCTAATTAAAGATGCATTATCTCACATAATCATTTTTGTAGTAAGTACACTTAGTATTTACTCTGATATGATGATGTATTTTAAGAATACACCATATCGTAATTAACTCTAGTCCCTATGCTGTTTAATAGATCCCTTGAACTTATTCCTTTTATTGAACTATAATTTTGTATCCTTTGACTAACATCTCCCCAACTGCCCCTTCTCCCCACCAATACACAACAGTTCAGCCTCTGGTAATTACTATTCGACTCTCTAGTTCTATGAGATCAACTTTTTAAGATTTCACATATGAGTGAATTGTGAGGTATTTGTCTTCCTATTTCTGACTTATTTCACCTAATATAATGTACCCTAGGTGCACCCATGTTATTTTAAATAGCAGGATTTCCTTCTTATTTATGGCTTAATCGTATTCCATTGTGTATACATATCATACTTCCTTTATCTATTTATTTGCTGGTGGACAATTTAGGCTGATTCCATATCCTTTTGTGTGAATAGTGCTGCAATAAACACTGGAGTGCAGATATCACTTCACCACACTGATTTCATTTCCTTTGGATACATACCTGGTAGTGAGAGAACTGGATTATACAGTAGTTTTAATTTTTTGAGGAACTCACACACTGCTTTCCATAATGGCGAATAATGTTCCCTTAATTCCACAGTTTCATCAACATTTGTTATTTTTTGTCTTTTTTTAATGCCCATTCTAACAGGTCTCAGATGATCTCTCATGGTTTTGATTTGTTTTCCCTGATGATTAGTGATGCTGAATATTTTTGCATATATCTGTTGGTCATTTATATGTATTCTTCTGAGAAATGTCTACTCAGGTTTTTTGCCCATTTTAAAATCAGGTGATTTTTTTTTCTTGCTATTAAGTTGAGCTCCTTACACACTTTGGACATTAACCCTTATCAGATGTACAGTTTGCAAACATTTTCTTCTATTCTATAGATTGTCTCTTCACTCTGTTGACTGCTTCCTTTGCTTTGCAGAATTTTAGTTTGCTATAATCTCATTTGTGTGTTTTTGTTTGGGCTGCCTATGCTTTGGAGAACATATTCAAATGTCATTTCCCAGACAAATATCCTGAAGCATTTCCCCTATACTTACTTATGTAAAAGCCTTACATTTCAGGCTTTAATTAATTTTGAGTTAATTTTTTAATATGGTGTGAGATAAGGGTCTAATTTCTTTCTGCTGCATAGGGATACCCCATTTTCCCAACACCATTTATTAAAGAGACTCAATCTATGAAGGTTGTATTCAGGAAGTAGTATAGATCCCAAAAACAAGTTCATTTTATTTTATTCCATTGGAAAGATGTCAGAAATGGCCCTCAAGATGTTTCACAGAGAGAGCTGCAGATTAACATTTCCCTGTTTGTATACTAAGGTATAAAGTCAGCAAAATGCTTCATGAAAAAGAAATCCATGACAAATACTAGGAAAGATTCTACTGCTGTAAACCAGTTTCACATTGGATAACTCTTCAAAGGGCAATGATAAAGTAACTTCTTTTCATGCTGCTGTTAAATCTCAATTCAGATTTTGTTAAATTTCAATCAAGTTCATACTTTTTTATTCCTGCTGACTTTCTTATTTGTCTAGTGCTATTTTATTAATGCTATTTTTTCTTGGGAAAGATACAAATTGAAGATGTCGTGCTTCTGTTGCCTATTTTGAAAGGTATATAACCATATATCATTATATCATATATCATTACATTTACACAAAAACCTAGAAATAAACAAACCACTTGTAAGAATTTCTAATTCAACTCAATTCAATTCAGTGACAATAATATTGTAAGATTCACAGTCCCATTTGTTCTGACTGTCTTTTCCCTTTAAAATAGTTTTTGCATTGGACAGAAACATTATAGGGAAAACAGCCAAAAAGAAAACCAAAACATTAGCCCAAAATTAAAATAAAATAAATAAGATAGTATAAGAAAATGTATAGGCCAGGAGCAGTGGCTCATGCCTGTAATCCCAGCACTTTGGGAGGCCTAGGCAGGTGGGTCACTTGAGGTCAGGAATTCGAGACCAGCCTGACCAACATGGTGAAACCCCGTCTCTACCAATAACACAAAAATTAGCTGGGTGCGGTGGCGCATACCTGTAATCTCAGTTACTTGGGAGGATGAGGCAGGAGAATTACTTGAACCCAGGAGGTGGAGGTTGCAGTGAGTCGAGATCACGCCACTGCACTCCAGCCTGGTTGACAGAGCAAGACTCCGTATCAAAAAAAAAAGATAAAAAATATACAAAGATAATATGCATATATATAACTATATATGGCATATGGAATCTACAAATTACATATATATCAATATATATGGCATATGGAATCTAGAAAATACAGAAGAACTTACAAATAAGGGGAAATCATCTCATAAAGAAATGGGCAAAGGCTTTGAAGAAGTACAATACAGAACTGAAAGACCAAACAAATGGCTAATAAAGGAAATGAAATGCTTGTATTCATTAGTACCCAGGAAAATAAAATCACAATCAGATATCATTATATAGCAAGTAGGTTAAAATTTTAAAAGTCTTGTTTTACCAAGTGTTTGTAAAAATTGGAGGCAACAGAGCCTTGATACAATGATAAGTGGAGTGTAAATTGTTACAATTGCTCTGTTAGCATTAGTAACATTAGCTATCTGCCTATCAGTTTTAATACTACTAACATAAGCACCCAGGGAGATATGTA